CCAAAATTGGAGGTGTAGTGGACAGCGAAAAAGGTTACTTCAGCGTACAATGGGATCTTGATCTGATGGACCAATGGGCCAAGGAGTGGCAGATGGAATTTAATTTAGATAAACGTGAGGTGCTGCATTTTGGAAAGAAATCAGGGTAGGACTTATACACTTAGTGGTAAGGTCCTGGGGAGTGTTGCTGAACAAAGAGATCTTGAAGTGCCAGTTCATAGTTCCTTGAAAGCGGAGTCACAGGTAAATAGGATAGTCAAGAAGGCATTTGTTATGCTTGTCTTTATTGGTCAGTGCATTAAGTATAGGAGTTGGGAGGTCATGATGCAGCTGTACAGTACATTAGTTCAGCTACTTTTGGAATACTGCGTGCAATTCTGGTCTTTCGGAGAGATGTTGTGAAACTAGAAAGGGTTCAGAAAAGGTTTACAAGGATGTTGCCAGGGTTGGAGGGTTTAAGCTATAGGGAGAGTTGAATAGGCTGGCGCTATTTTCCCTGGAGTATCGGACGCTGAGGGGTGACCTTACAGATGTTTATAAAATCATGAGGGGTATGGATAGGGTAAATAAGCAAGGTCTTTTCCCCAGGGTGGGGGGAGTCCAAAACTAGAAGGCATAGGTTTAAAATGAGAGGGGAAAGATATAAAAGAGAGACCGAAGGGGCAACCTTTTCCACACAGAGGGTGGTATGCGTATGGAATGAGCTGCCAGAGGAAGTGGAGAAGGCTGGTACAATTACAACATTTAAAAGGCTTTTGGATGGATATATGAATAGGAAGAGTTTTGAGGGATATGGGCCAAATGCTGGCACATGGGACTAGATTTATATAAGAAATCTGGTCGGCATGGACGAGTTGGACTGAAGGGTCTATTTCTGTGCTGTATATCTCTATGGCTCTATCATTCTCATAAACCCTCTCTTGATGCCCTCCAATGGCAGGATATCTGCCTTAGTTAGGGGGCCCAAAACTGCTCACAATAATCCAAATGCGGTCTGACCAGAACCTTATACAGCCTCAGCAGTACATCCTTGCTCTTGTATTCTGGCCCTCTCAAACTGCATTTGCCTTCCTAACGGCCAAACAAACCTGCATGATAACCTTAAGAGAATCTTGAAGTAGGACGCCTGCATGCTACATTGTGCTTCATGCTTCCAAAGCCTTTTCCCACTTAGAAAATAATCAATGCCTACATTCTTCCCACCAAAATGCATAATCTCACACTTTCCCACATTGTATTCCATTTGCTATTTCTTTGCCCACTCTCCCAGCCCTGTCCAAGTCCTTCTGCAGCCTTCCCTCTTCATCAACAGTACCTACCCCTTCACCTATCTTTGTGTCATCTACAAACTTAAGAACAATTCCCTCTTCCTTTGTCCAGGTCGTTAATGCATAGGGTGAATAATTGTAGTCCCAAAGTTGGTCCCCGCAGAACTCCACTGGTCACCAGCTGCCATTCCTGAAACAGACCCCCTTATTCACACTCTCTGCCTTCTGAGAGTCAAGCAATCCTCTATCCATGCCAGCACCTTGCCCCTAACACCATGGGCTTTTATCTTATTTAGCAGACTCCTGTGCTATCACATCTGATTCCAGCTTCTCCATCTCAAACTGCAGGGTGAATTCTGTCATACAGTAACTGTCCCCTAGGGTTTTGTTCACCTTAAGCTCTTGAATCAAGTCTGCCTCATTACACATCACTGCATTCAGAATTGCCTGTTACCTAGTGGGCTCTGCCACAAGCAGCTCCAAAAAAACTCCCATAGATATTCCACAGATTCCTTTTCTTGGGATTTGCCGCCATTTTTCCCAATCTGACTGCATGTTGAAACCCCCCCATTATTATTTTAATAGTGCCTTTCTTGTCTCCTGATTTACCCACATCCTGACTACTGCTGGGAGGCCTGTACACAACTCCCATCAGGGTCTTTTTTCCTTTGCAGTTCCTCAATTCTACTGAAACCCACCCCACCCCCAGTATTTAGTTTAAAGTCCTATCTAAAGCTAGTTATGTTATTTGCCAGGACTCTGGTCCCAGTCAGATTCAGATGGAGCCTGCCCTTTTGGAGCAGCTCCCTCCTTTCCCACTACTGATGTCAATGTCCCATGAATTCAAACCCGTTTCTTCCAAACCAATCTTTGAACTACACTTTTTACCTCTTTAATCTTGTTGATCCTGTGCCAATTAGCTTGTGGCTCAGATAGTAATCTGGAGATTATTATCTTTTTGGTTCTGCTTTTTAAATTTAGCCCGTAGTTGCCCATATTCCCTCAACAGAACCTCTCTTCTACCTATATCGTTGATACCTACGTGGACCTTGACATCTGGATCTTTCCCCTCCCACTCTATGTTACACTGCAGCCCAGAGGAGATATCCTGAACCAGGCACCAGCCAGGTAACACAAGACTCTCGATCTTGACCAGAGAGCACAGTGTCTATTCCTCTGACTATACTATTCCCAATTATAACTACATTTCTCTTTACTGCTCCCCCTTGACTGACTCCCTGTATGATGGTGCTATAGTCAGTTTGCTCATACTTCTTCCAGCTCTCACACTCTCATCCACACAGGGTGCAAGAACCTCAAATCTGTTGAACAAGCTCAAGGGGCTGAGACTCCTTCAGCAATGCCTCCTGGATCGGTCCACCTGCTTCATTCATAGTCACACCCTCCTGTCCCTGACCACTGACCAAATGCAAATTAATCTGAGGGGTTTGACTCCCTCCTGAAATACAGTGTCCAGATTTCTCTCCCCCTCCCTGATGTATTGCAGTGTTTGAAGCTCTGAATCCAACTCATCAACTCTGAGCCAGAGTTCCTCGAGCAACCTATACTTGCTACGAACCAAGCATGTTCGTAGTCAACTTTGTAACTATTACCAAACAAAGAACTTACAGTTTTCCTGTAATATCAATCTCTTTTTGTGCAGGGCCCCCAACCTTAGGCTTTAATCTAACCTGTAAAAAGATCTTACAAACTATGAATCAAAACAAAGCAAGCAAAAAGCACCTCTTCCCTTCCACCGAATTCCCAAACAGCCTCCTCCAAATTCCCCAAACTATATACTCACTCAGGCTATAACTCGCTCTGGATGTGATCTCTCCTTCCTGACAGCCCATACCTTATTGATTGTGCACTTTCAATCGGCTCTCACTTAAATAGAGCTGAGATGACTCACACTTGTTATGCTTTAATAGTAATCAATACTTATTGAGGACCTTTTCAGGCTTCAGGTGATTGACTGATAACTGTTCCTTCTTCTTCAAAGTTGTCATTCCATACAGCTTATAACTAAAATATGACATAACACCACATAAAACGTCAATGCATAAAACTAGCCATTCAGTCCAACATGTTTATATTAGTGTTTATGTTCCATACAAGCCCTGATTATTGCCCCATAATGGTGCCATCATTTTTGCCTATACTTTTAAGTGAGACACTATAGGTCGAAAAATGGCAAGTTCTTCCACTAACGGAAAAACATGTTGGGACAGTGGTCAACGCATTTCCACTGCTTGCTATTTGCAACCAAGTGGTGATTGCATTCTTTATGAATGCTTTATGGTATTACTACAAAGATCTGGGGAATACTCCCTCATAAATTACAGAGATTGATTCACACAAAATAGCTCATTGTTAAATTATAAACACATAGCTTTCCTAGATCATATTTGACTCAATTGCTGAACGTGAACATTTGATTTAACGAGAAAAGATTGAAGCTCTAAGTATCCCGATGGATGAGTCATTAATAGAGGCCAAATTCCACCAACAAGAGAACTAAGTTACTGAAGGAACAAGAGATTCAAAGTGGGCTAATGAATTTTCACTTCAAACCCTTGCAGGATTTCTGTTACTAATAATAAGTGCCATGTATAGCACTGCATTCTGCACAGGTTAAAGGTCTCAGAGCCCAATTTTTGTTAATATTCAAGACCAACAGAATACTGACAGAGGCAAACAATAATCATTGCAAATCAGTACCGTACAGAAATACTGAAATAAAATTTTGGGTCATCAAAAAAAAAATCTCCCACTTCAACTAGTTTGTCCCTTTTTCCTGAATTTACCATCTCCTGTTAAGTTGAATGGACGTAAACTGCCTACTGAATAAATGTGCAAACTTCCCAGGATTGTCCTCGTGTCTCTAAATACTACAAATAACCAAACAGAACAATCACAGAGGTGTTACAAATATCTTTTTTTTTCTCATTTTGGTTTGAAAGCATTAGTTTATGATAAATTTGTAAGAGAAGATCTTTGGAAGTGGATGGCCTTCCACAGTCTATCTTCCATAAACTTGAGAAAAATGAGCTACTCATCCTAACTCACGACCACGCCCATTTATCTATCACCCCTGTCCTTGCTGATGTACACTGTAAGCAGTGTATTAATGTTAGAATTTGCATCCTCGTTTTTCAAATCCCTCAGGGTCTGTCCATACCCCTCTCTCTATCGGTAATCTCCTCCATTCATAAAACTCTAAGATTTCTGCGCTCTTCCAACTGTTCCTCTGCATTTTCAGCACCCTCTGTTTCAATTATTCCGCTGTTGGCAGCAGTCCATTCAGGTGCCAAGGGCCTGAATACTGGAATTTCATACCTAAACCTCTCTGCCTCACTTCTGCTTTAAGGTATGTTCCCTAAAACTTAGCTTTTTTGACTAGGTGTTTAGAAATCTGTCCCTATTGCCTCCTTGTGCAGCTTGATGTCAAATCTCCTTTGATAACATCCCTTGGGAAATTTTATTATATTTATTTATTTGTCCCATGTACTAAGTATAAGAAAACATAAATACAGTGAAAAAGTGCACAAAGTCACCACTCACCGGCACCCACTTGGTTACAAAAACCAAAATTAAAAGATTTAACAGAGCCAAAAGGTAAGCAAGAAACAAAAAGTCCTGATCTCAGAGTCCCAAGTCCCATCTCCACATTGGTGTGGGCACTGCTCCAATTGCTAGGACACCATCACTGCCTTACCAGCCCAGCTCTCACTGCCAATCGCTACTGCCTTATCGGCCCGCTGTTGCTGCTAACTGCTACTGCCTTATCGGCCCGCTGTTGCTGCTAACTGCTACTGCCTTATCGGCCCACTGTTGCTGCTAACTGCTACTGCCTTATCGGCCCACTGTTGCTGCTAACTGCTACTGCCTTATCGGCCCACACTCACCCCCTGCAGCTGCCTCACCAGCCTGCTCTCGCTGCCAACTTCACTCTGGCCCACACTTGATCCGCCGTCGCTGCAGGACACAGCCCACGCATTCGGCTCCCGGTATGCGACCCGACTCCTAAGGTAGGTCGTTAAAAGGGCGGTGGGCGTGGGGATAAGTTAGAATTACTACAGCGAGGAGACAGATGGAGAAGAAAAAAGAAAGGAAAAGGAAAAGGAACTAGCGAGCAGAGTAGAGCTCCGAATGGAGCGACTTACCCCACTTTGATGCTGTATAAATACAAGTTCTGTTCTTGTCATCATTGCCACTGGATTAACAGCCTACAATTCCCCAGCATTGTAGGAGAACCATCACTATAAAGTCTACAGTGGTTCCAGGAAAAGGCCCACTTTTGTGCCCCCTCAGAAGGTGATTAGAGATGGGCAGGAGCATTGCCATCTCCTACTTTCTAAGATTTTTTAAAGCCATATGAACATTTCCATAATTGGTAAACTGATACTTATTCAGTTTTATGATGTTATTTCACAGTATAGAAGGAGCTCAACTAACCTGTACAGATTCCTTCAAAGATCAGCCCAGTTAGTCCCAATCTCTACTGTTTCTCCACGTCCCTGTATTTTTCCCACTTTCAAGTTTTCGTGAAATTTGCTTTGAAGGTGCCTATTAAAGCTATGTCCATCATTCTCTCAGGCAGAGCATTCCGAATTCTGTTCACTCATTATGTTTTATCTGGTCTATTTTTCTTTTTTTTTAACCTTTTATTTATTCTTTTTATTTATTCTTGGAGAGAGGGCAGAAGCAGTTTACAAGAATGGTTCCAAGGATGAGGATAGATGAAGAAGTTGGGACTGTTCTTCTTGGAGAGACAAAGGCTAAAGAGGAGACCTGATGGAGGTTTTCCAATTCATGAATGGGCTGGTTCGAGTAGATTGGGAGAAACTGTTTGCCTTTGTAAAAGGAAGAAAACAAGAGGGCATAGATTTACTGATTCTAAAGAAGCCAGGATGAAGTTTGGAAAAACTTTTTAACTCAGCGAGTAGTTGGGGTATGGAATGTACTGCTTAGAGGCAGTGTGGTGGAAGCAGGTTCAATTGAGGCATTCAAAAACATTGGATGGCTATTCAAATAAAGATAATGTGCAAGGGTACGGGTAAAAGCAGGAGATTGGCACTAAGTCATTTAATGAGCTGGTGCAGGTACAGTGGGCCTAATGGCCTCCTTCTGCGCCATAACCCTTCTGTGATTCTATCTAACCCCTTCATAATTTTAGACACTTATATGAAATCTTCTTCTGGTCTTCTCTGATCTAAGGAGAACAATTCCAGCTTCTCCAATCTATCCAAATAACACAAATCCCTCGAGCCATTATTCTGGTCAATCTCTTCTTGTACCCTGTCAAAAGTATTGATGTCCTTCCTAAAGTGTGTCTTAGAACTGGGAACAATGCTGCAGACAGAACAGAATAAATACTTAATGTAGTTTTAGAACAACTTATTGTGGTTTATACTTCAATAAGGATAGTGAGGAACAATGAAGTTTAATCCAAACTGGGTTAACATTTGAGGGAGGAGGTGGCCTAGTGGTATTATCACTGGATTAATAATCCAGAGACCCAGATAATGTTCTAGGGACGCAAGTTCAAATCCTGCCATGACAGATGGTGGAATTTGAATTCAATAAAAAGGAAACTGGAATTGAGTCTAACGATAGCCATGAATCCATTTGCTGATTTTCCGAAAAATCCATCTGATGCACTAATGCCCTTTAGGGGAGGAAATGGCCCTGGTCTGGCCTACATGTGATTCCAGGCCCACAGCAATGTGACTGACTCTTAAGTGTCCTCTGGGCAATTAGAGATGGGCAATAAATGCACTCATCCGGTGAATGAAAAAGGGAAAAAAAACCCATCAGATTCTGTAGCCCCTGACAACATATGTCCCAATTTGAATAGCATTTCCTTAACTGACAGCTCACACCCAGGCCAATCTCACATTGCATGCCTAGCTGACAGTGTACACCCAGTCTCAGAAATTCATTGCATCCCCTTACTGATTGCTTGCACCCACTCCCAGTTTCATACCGTGGCCGTAACTGACAAGTCACATCCAGTTTCACAATACAACGGCCTAACTGCCTACTCATAGCCAGTCAGAAACCGCCCCTCCCCAACTGACATCTCATGGTCAGCATCTGCTCACGAACCAATACTTCACATTTGAATCACACCCTGCATTCCTAGGATCAGCAGCCGGAGACCAAACAGTATCCTGCTAACAGTTTATATTCCATCCGGTCTAGTGCCTGATCGTGGCTGTGCCTATTTTACCTTGTGTTCTACGCAACTTCTGTGTTCACTGCATTCTTTCATTTCCATGAGCAGTACCCACCCAACTGTGACCCTTAAAACTGGCAATCTTTACCAGGAAGGCTGGTTGCTGCCGCCAACCTTTTACACAAATAAAATATGAACACAAATTAAGCTTCTTTATACCCTGATTGATATTTTAGAATTGGTATTTTTCTGGCCCAACTTCTGAATTCAAATCCTGCATGCTTCAAAAATAGAGCAAACATGTAAGGCTGCAGGGGATGGGAGGTCTTGTGACTCAGTGGATATTGCTTCTCCCTCTGAGCCAAAATGTCTGGGTTCAAGCCCCACTTCAGGACTCATGTGTCACAGGAGGAACATTCAGGCCCAGTTCAACTGGATGATAATCAGCCTGTTAACACCTGCCTGCTATTCCCCAAAGGGAGAAATGTTCCACTTGAGGATATGAAACAAACAAGCCTGTAGGAATTTATAACTTACACAGAGGTTTATTACACCCAGTTGCCACGAAGTGTCTTGTCTGTTGAATAAGGCACCACAATGCACAACTGTAAAGAGCATATTTTTAAATTATTCACTCATGAGATGTGGATGTCGCTGGCTAGGCCAGCACTTATTGCCCAGTCCTAGTTGCCCTCAAGAAGGCGGTGGTGAGCTGCCTCTTGAATTGTTGCAGTCCACTTGGGTGTGGGTACTCCCACAATGCCATTAGGAAGGCAGCTCCAGGATTTTGAACCAGGGACACTGGAGGAATGGTGAGAAATTTCTGAGTCAGGATGCCAAGTAGTTTGGAGGCAATCTTGCAGGCAGTAGTGTCCCCATGTACCTGCTGCCCTTGTCCTTCTAGATGGTATTGGTCATGGGTTTGGAAGGTACTATTTTAAGATCCTTGGTGAATTGGTGCAGTGCATCTTGTAGATGGTACACATTGCTGCTACTGACCGTCAGTACTGGGGGAGTGGTTGCTTTGTCCTGGATGGGGTCAAGTTCTTGATTATTATTGAATCTATACTCATCCAGACAAGTGTGCAGTGTTCTATCCTGGCTTGTGCTTTGTAGATGTGGACAGGTTTTGGGGAGTCAGGAGATGAATTCATAAGTTACACGAGTTAGCATGATTGAAATAAGAGAGTCTCAAGCATTATAAAAGCACCAGAAACTTCCTAAGACTTATTCTCCCTGTTTATTCTGTGAATGCACAATTCCTGGTGAAACCTGAAACTTTTTTAAAAATTATTGTGTATTTTGTACACCTCAAGATGTGCATCAGTCAAAAAAGAATGTCGGGAATGAGTCCCTATTTCCAAAGTTCTCAATGCAATGACAGCATCAAAACTTCCCTGGTAAGTCAGTTTCCTCCAGAGAAGAGGCAGCTCTCAGTCTCAGCTTCTGAATAGCGATTCAAGTTGTGCTATGACAAAATTATCACACTGTGACAGGTTAATACCAGGAACGGCTGAACTGTTGGTCACACCCAGAGTAAAGGAGGGTAGGAGGATGATTTGACAAAGTAGTTAAATACATGTCACATTTAAAATGTCACCTTGTCTGAATTGGTAGCACTTTCCCCTCGTAATCAGTAGGTTATGGGTTACACCCAACACCAGAACACATTAACTAGATTAGCTCTCACTGCCACACTGAGGACGTGCTGCATCATTTTAGATGCTACTCGACAGATGATGTCTTAGACAGAGACCTTATGTGTGAACTCTCAGAGATCTTAAGGCACTGTTTGAAGGAGAATAGGGAATTGCTCTGCTCAACGTTCTTCATTCAGGTTAGTCAAAAAATAATTAAGTGGACATTCATTCTGTCAGAGCTTATGTATCCAGCTGTACACAAATATTGCAATGTTTGCATTATTCTGTAACAATAATTCATGTATTTCAACATAAATTTTTATATGTGAAGTATTTTGAGTAATTTCAGACAAGATGTCATATAAATCAAGTTCCTTTTTCCTTCTTTCAAAAGATGTGCTCTTATTTACTTGAGTCCAGCACCAGTTCACTTCAGTATGCCAAAAAACCTGCCTTATTGTTGTATTTAGTGGAATGTTAGGGCCCAGTCACATAGCCAATGACAATCCAAAAATAAACGTGCTGATCTTCATGAATCAGGCTAGCTTCATACAGTGTTGCCTCTGTCTTTGTGAGACCTATCAGCTTTTGACACACATAATTCACAGCACTCAGTGGAATTTCAAGCTGCTCATTTTCTGCTCATCCCTCCTACTGTACTGTTAAGCCAAACCTTTCCTAGTTCTCCAAACTTAATGTTAAATCCCAATTTATCTTTTACTTCCCCTTATCCACTTATAATAGTAGTGACCATGCTCATTTAATTGAAAATGCAAGCCTCCTGTTCAATTGACTTCCTTACCACCAAATGTATGGACATCCACTTTCTTTCCTAGATCCCCATAAATCCCTTCAATCAGGTCACCAATCCTTCCATTACTCCAAAACAGCCATAAGCAAATTAAAAATGACATTGCAGCAACCTGTTTGAGCACACAATTCTTCACCAAAACCTCTCCTTCTCTATCATTTAAGACTTCCTGAGGCTGTGAATGGTACCATACAAATGCAAGTCTTTCTTTACCTTTACATTGCATTTTCTTTATGTGGCAGTAATATTTAGAACTAATTTCAGAGCTGTTCACTTGATTCGGTTTCCTTGAAGGAAAACAGCTTCAACTCATAAATTTAAAGAATACAGAGACCAAGTCAATGAAATTTTAAAATGGAGACAGTGCTGCATAAAATGTGGTGGAGAGCAGGTTTCAAT